ATCTACTATGACACAATATTTCAGCAACATTTTTGCTTGATCTGCTCCCACAGTACTTTAATTATATAATGTACCAACATAAAAAGCAGAAAATGCAAACACATTGCTAGCAAAAAATATTGTGCTTAAAAAAACGCTAAACATACAGCTTACTGCAATTTTTTGCCAAAGCAATAAAAAGAAAATTGATTGATTTGAATGATTGATTTGTGGTGTTTAACGTCCCAAAACCATCATATGATTATGAGAGACGCCGTAGTGGAGGGCTCCGGAAATTTAGACCACCTGAGGTTCTTTAACGTGCACCCAAATCTGAGCACACGGGCCTACAACATTCTCGCCTCCATCGGAAATGCAGCCGCCACAGCCGGGATTCGAACCCGCGACCTGCGGGTCAGCAGCCGAGTACCTTAACCACTAGACCTCCATGGCGGGGCAATAAAAAAATTAAAACGAAAGTGAATAAACTATCATAGTCATGAAATAGTAGTGCCTTCATATTAATAAGAAATTCTTTCCTATTAATTACTCAAACCAGTAATATTATATAATTTATTTAGCGTGACACTATTTCACTAAGGTGCCCAAAATTTGAAGCGCCCTCTAGGCAAAACAATTTTTTTTGCGAATTACAACGCCTCAAACTATTTTTCACCTTCCCAATACTGTACTACAGGACATCGACTGCATCGACAATATATATATATATATATATATATATATATATATATAAATATATATATATATATATATATATATATATATATATATATATATATATATATATATATATATTAAAGGTGTGCGCTAGCTCCGGGCAACCCAAAGCTCATGGCCGGCCGGGGCTGCACAGTTGCAAAACCTGAATCATGGCCAAGACATAGATCTTGTGTCAGAACTCCTTTCTAGCACATAGAGCTACAAGATTAGCCTTTTTGTGATTATATATTCACAGGGTCATTCGTTTGTCCTGCATATGCAGTACTAAACTTCTGGAAGGACAAGCACTAAACGCATTTCAAGCTTACTATGCTTGCAAAAACATGTTGGCTGATTCGACTACCGTTGCGGAATTTTGATTGATTCGACTACCTGAACGGTATTTTAAATGCGAATGCATTTTCAAGTCGGCCTATGTCAGGCATCCTCGCCCTTAGCAACCGGAGCATGTGGTGCGATAGAGTGGTGGTGCTAGTGGTTAGAAGGAAGAGGAAAAATGCACCTAATTTCTGTCTGCCTTCAGGCGACACGGCGCAGTGCCTTATAGGGGGGGGGGAAGGAGGGATAAAAAGAATAGAAGGAAAATAGATGAAGAATTAGACAGGCAAGCGACGGAAAAAGAAGGAGATAGGAAAGTGGGGATCCGGTCGAAGCAGTCCAAGGGCGGGGCGCCACAATGCGAGAGCTGCACGGCGTCAGGAGACCGCGGAGGGCGAACCAGTCGGCGAGAGCTACGCTGGCGTCGGAGGTCGGCGAGAGCTACGCTGGCGTCGGAGATCGCGAGGGCACAACCGTCCAGCTTGAAAACCTGCGAGCGAATCCCCGATAGAGTGTAGGAGAGGGTAGGCGCAGTGCTTCGCCACTACTTCTCTCACCGTTCACTTTCTCCTTCCTGCGCCCCACTTTCCCGTGCGCTCGCGCCTCACTCTCGACCGTTCGCTGGCTGGGTGCCGCTCTAGAAGGTCTGGAAATGTGTGCTCGAGACGCCGCTATGAAACGCCAATGCTGAGCTGAAAACGTTGTTTCTTTTGTTCACTTCATAGTGTTTTTTAACCGTGCACGCTAGCTACTAGAGCTGGAAACGCATACCGAGTTTCTCGCGACAGAAAAACGCCACGTGTGGCGAACGGCGCTATTGGCTGCACGGTGTAAGAAAAAAAAGAAAACATTATTCTTCTAACGCTGGGTGCTCACGTTCGAAACGCCGTTATGGACGATACGAACTGCATTCGTTTTCATCATGCTTCTCTTCGTGTAGGTGGGGGAATATTTTCGGTTCGGTGGGATATATGATGAAAGAACGCCAAACTTAAATCAAGCCCGAATGGTTGGACAGCTTGTTATTTTTACCCGACAACTCGTAAGCTGTAGTATAGTGATCGCCGTGAGACATTTGCTTATGTTTCATTCTGCCATGTTTAGTTGAATGTCACATGATCGGACAACTAGTCACTACAGCAAATTTTCATGATATCGAGCTGCATCGACCCGGAACTGGGCTATTGTTTTTGTACGTTGAGCCAGAATGGGTGGGCTCGCAGTCCCTTAGAGTCAGACTCGCGCGAGCCTTCGACGCATTCAGGGGGCCCCGACCGGGCTCTGGCTCTGAAATGCGGCGCTTGCACGATTTTCATCAGCAGTCATGTAGGCACTGCTGAATTGTGTGTCGACGCCCCATATAAAAAACTGGAAGATTTGTAGCCACCAAAATGCTCCACAAAGAAATTGACAAGATACTAATGAAGAAGAGTGCAAGGCAGGGAGACACGATACCACCCCCCCCCCCACCCTCGTGCTTACAGAAGGTTTTCATGGTCTCAGATTAGGGAGAATTAGAAATACGAGTCAATGAGTTAGTAAATTTATGTCGCAAAAGTAATAATTTAATTATAGAGATAAAAGACGTCAAACTCGCACGATGCCGCCTTGTCTAATGTGACCGTGTGAACGTATTCAAGTAGTATACGCTGGAATTTCTCTCATACGCAAAGAACTCGCCAAATATAGTTAGAAAGAATTAACGCGGCCTTTTTCCTTTACACGATGTTGATGATTCATCACCGTAGTTTCTTCATTCAGAGAGACGTCTCTCCCTGAAGACTCCTGCTGCTATGGGACCTCTAGCCCTGCTGGCTGCGCCCCTTCGTCCTTCTGGGTGGTGTGAACGCATAAGTCCTGCCGAGGCCCAGCTCTGTAGACTTCTGGACGACACGCTCCCTACCAATGCGCACGCGCTGAGGCTGGGTCGCTACCTTCACTCGAGTGGTTGCTTTGTCGTTGCTGTACATCAGCTGCTCTTCATAGCCTACTCCACCAATGTCGATTTCCCCACCGCCTGTGTCAATAATTCCCGGACCGCCATTCCCGAAGTCGATGCCTCCACCGTCTTCTACGATGACCACTGTGCCATCGTCAACGGGCACGTAGACTGGAACATAAATGTATTGGACGCCGCCGAAGCCACCGCCGAAGCCACCACTATACATGCCGTCCAATATCCTGCTGTAAAGGGCTGTCGTGAGTGCGTTCAGCCCACCACCGTAGCCACCACCTCCGAAGCCCCCGTAACCACCGCTGAAGCCGCGGTAACCACCTCCTCTTCTGAATCCGCCGTAGCCGCCACGGTATCCACCACGCATTCGTCCACCATAGCCGTACGTGCGTTTTGATATGTGGTGAAGACTTGTCAAGGATACTGCAAATAGCCACAAGAGAGATCGTCTCAACAAACAAAGCTTCCCGAGATTGACACTTCAGCGTCAGCGCTCCTCAACTAAACACACGCTGTGCGTATTCTATTACATTGTTATCCATACAAATTATTTTAAATACTATAGTTTTTCTTGGGGACCTTGAACGCAAAAATTTTGGTGTGTCTGTCTGCCTGTCCGCCCTTTACGGTACCGCAAACGACACCTAACGATACTCCGGACGGCGGACCCCACCCGCAGCGCCCATCAATATTGCTCAAGTTTTAGCGTTCATACTTGTGCGATTGTCAATTGAAAAGCGATTATTGCGCATATCTGAGGAACCATAACAACACATTTATAATAGAAAAGGCTTACATAAGTAATTCTAAGGATCATTGTGTTTATCACGCTGCGCTGATGATGCAATCAATGCCTGCACGAAAAGGCAAGTGTTTCCAACGCTTTGCTGAAACGACACTGTGGCGGCACCTACCCGTGGCCTTGCGTTCTACACCTTATTGCCTCCAAGACGGGCGCGCATACCACGCGCTTCGGTTTCCAAGATAACTAACTGCCAGATAGTGCTCATGTCTCACGTATGACGTGACACGATGCGCTCGTTCGCCTCCGCTGCACTCTCGAGGCACTCTGCCGCAGCACCTCCAGAATACCATTCACCGATTTTCTTACGCAGAACATCAAATAAACGTCTTGTTCACTCTCTCCAGACGCAAGACTATCGTCCTTCGACGACATTTGCAGTGTAACATGCAGATACGGGGCCAATTTTTTTTTCTTTGCTGGAATGTTAACTGAAAACAGGAATATACGGACTCACCGACGTCAAGTAGAACGCCTGCCAAGAGAACGTATCTAAGTTTCGTCATCTTCGCGCAATCTCAAATCCTACTGCGACAAGTTTACAGTTGGCGGCTAAGAATTTGCGTGACAAAGCACGTTTACACAAACGGCAGCTGTCCGCGAATGCTGAGGCTGCGTGTCCTGTAAATCTCTACATTGTCAACAACTTGCTTTTCTTTCTTTTGTCGTCAGATTCTTCATCGGTATTTTCACTTGTGTTCAGACACGTGCCAAGGTGGACAGAAAAACAAGCTGTGCCATTCTTCACTCGCTTTGGGACAACGGTGAGCACACCGTAGCAAATATGGCCTTGTTTACAATTAACACTGTGGGGGCGCACTGTTCGTATTGGGCTCAACATCCTTCGAAATTCTCCAAATAACTTACGAGGTTTGGAAAAGTGGACTCCCAGCACAATACCGGAATGCTAATTTTCAGTGAGTACATATACAGGGCTTAAGCCAGCAGCCACTGTGCCCAAAATGTGTGTTCTAGTGTTCATTTATGTTGAAGGTGTTCTGCACTGTGGCAGTGAATCGGAAGTAGCAATAAAACCATAGCTTCCTATTTGGTCGCTGTTGTTTTTTTTTCAGCATGCTGAGCGATTTGTTAAGGAAACAATTGTTTGTGGAACAATTCCCAAGATAAGTCTCGAACAAAACAATAGAAGCTGATTAGTTTCATTCCACAAAACTGATGTTTATTCTATTTCTGAGGCAATAAAAATCACGAATGGAAGGACCACATTAGCGCGCCGCGGCGGGTGCTGCTGTGGTGGCTGTCGGTTGGACAGGGTTCACATAAACTGGATAGACGAACCTGTATGGGTAGTACCCGTATCCATATGTGTAGTAAGGGTACCTGTAATAAAACGGCGAATATAAAGCAGAATAACTATATAATCCCGAGTATAAGTATGGCAAATAGAGCCAGCTGAGGGCCAAAAATGGCCAGATGTAACGCTTTGGTCGCCGCAGAGTGGTATTGTGGGCGTCTCTTCTGAATCGAGTTTTTATCTCAGCATGAAGTGGATCATATACGTTTGATTGCCACCTGGATTCTAAAGTTACGTGTGGGGTTTCTTTCAAGGTGTCACTTATCGGTGGGGTCCTTCGTAGCAACCTTGAGCGCTTCATGATGTCGTAGTTTGCGTAGTCTGCGAGACGAGTAATACGACTGTATGGCAGATGTTTTTCCAAATGGGCTGTCCTGGTCAGTTGTGCCTGAACTAGATGTTGAAGTAGAGAAACTCTGTGGTCATCGATCATAGTCCTTTTCTGGAGTTGCAATGCATAAAGCCGTCCTTCAGTACCGTGAAGCTGATCCAGAAGTAGCGATTTTCGAAACCACTCGCCATCTGTTTGGAAACCTGAAAAAAATCAGAAGGACAGTTCAAATGTTTATGCTTATTTTATTTATCAGAAGAGGCGCGCGAGCAAGCGCCAAATAGTGTTTTCTCATTGCAAATATACAAAGCATTTCTTTGCGAACCAACCGGAACTTCAACCTTTGCTATCTGTCAGTCTATCATTTTTCTGGCCTCCAATGCCTCAGTTCTCTTTTAACTTGGTATAGTATACTTGAATTTGTATAGCATGGTATGTGTAGTGAACACCGCTGTCAAGTCATGACATGAATGACATGGCATGTATGTCGCTTACATCATAAAACATTTTCAAACAGTAATGTGTAACGCACACCTGCATACCACGACCCATGGTATGCAAGTATGCGCCACGGGTGACTCAACTTATATTAAACCAGAACGGCAAAAACAGACATTGAAAACTTCATAAGACAGTGTTAGTTCATTACAATAGGGAAATGCATACCTTTTGCTAACGCTCGCGACCATTAAGGAAGGAATACATTGAGGAGAGGCCGTTACGTCACATTTTGTGAAGCCGGAAGTGGGTAAGGGTAGAGGATTCCTCCTCACAAGGTTGGGCACGCAACGGTGGCTCGCGCATGCGCAACGGTGGCCAGCGAGTGGGAGGCGAGCCCATTTCGGACGCGTCTGGCGGCACCGCCGCCACAGACATCTGATAGACGAATTGGAGAAGCGAAACTATTGTGCTGATTTTGAGCAAGCGTGCTTCGATACTCGCTTGTGGAGGGCCTGTATGCCATTCGCAGCCTCAGCACGGCTCATATCGTGAATCTAAATAAACTTGCAGCTTTGCACTTTGTGTTTATTCCGCTGAAGGCAAGAGAGTAACGGCGCGAATCGGCCGGGTAATCCCCAAGACTGGCTGTTTTCTTCTGCAGGTATGGTACGTTCCGAGTACAGAACATAATGTTACAGTGAAATGTTATTAAATTTCACTTACTATTTCGCCTGATCAAGTACCTCCGAATCATTGTTTGCCATGTGTATCATGATACGTGCGCAAGAGTACTGTTCGCAGCAGCGCGCAGGTCGGCCAACTGCGGCCTTATCGAAAAAACCCTGGCCAAAGATAAGGTTGCCGCACGCAAGACGTTAACAGGGAGCAGTAATTCAAACAAAAATCGCCTTCCGTGTTAGACACTTGCCCGGTGAGAACAGTGGACCACGTACAGCTTTCCGATAGTTGTCACCGTCCTATAGACACGAGAACAGCCCACCACCGCCTCTCGCATCAAGAGCCGTAGTCTGGAGGCGCTACCGTTCTCGTCTTGGAATTACAGACTTCCTTCGCTGAGGCACGCAACTGCATAATGCCGAAGGAAAACAGCGAAGCTGCGGCGCCAACAATTTTCGGAAAAGTTGTCACGAACTTCGTTAACGACCACTTCCGACCTCGAGCGATACAAATGAACTCGCAACCGTGAAGACCAACTCTCACTGTAGGCTTCTGACATATTGCGTCATCTTTGAAGTGCAATAGCTGCCTAAATTGCACATTCAGAACTCCAGCCGGCTATTAACAACGCCTCCAATGCCCACGAGTGGTGATGCAGACGACACGAAACGCCGGCGTGCCCTCCTGATCCCACAACCCCTTTGCAAAAGCACGTGACTTCCGCCACATTTTCCGCTCTGCACCTTGCCCTGCGAGGGCCTCTCCCCAGCTATCCTTCCTCCATGTTGGCGACACGTCGTACTTATTATATGACATTTATCACATGTGCGTGCTCAAGTGCATGACGTGTCGACTGTTATGCACACAGGGGCAAATACATCGAAGACCAGACGTGTGCTCTACTATTTTTGTGCCAGTTGGATCAAATGTTAACGAGGGACATTTTCAGAGACTATATTCGTTCACTTTCGAACATTTCCTTATCGTTGTGTTGGTGTTGTTTGATATGTGCATCTGAATGTGTTTTTGCATACGTGTGCTCGGGTGGTCTACTTTCCATGCACTGCTCTTTATGCTTTCCATCATGATATGTGTTCAACTTTCACTCAAGGGCTAAGGAGTAGCCGGCGCCGGACTTGTACGCTAGCATCTCCTTATATATCACATAAAAAAAAACAGAGACTCGTACATATGTTGTCCTATGGCTGAACAAACTCAAGCCTATCATTGCTCTTCCCGGGAAAAAAACACGAATGAACGCTGCTTATACTTTGTTTCAAGAAAACAAAACCGTCTGCGCTGGCACATAAGTGTCGGCATTACGTCAGAGGATGAGCTACCCCTCAGACGCAAGTGTAGTCAGCGCACCTGGTATCCAACGATGTGTTCACGACTGCCCAAATTACACAAAAACATCAATCCACTTCGCATGACTTGGCTCACAGTGCGGCTGACTACACGCGTGCAATAGGTTCCCGCAATAAGCGGTGTATGCTAGAAATTCTATTTATGCCAATGCTAAAAAGGAAGTGTTCCACTCATTGCATCCATGGCCGAAACTACAAAACTTCTCCTTCATGAGCCCTCTTTGCTAGCGCCTGGTCATATTATCTAGTAATAGGCCTACTTTAAGATTGTCTCACCTCATGTATTACGAATACTATTAACGAAAGTTCCCTCTGAGAATATGGAGCCCATTGATCCACGATAATTGTGCAGGCGCACACCAGCAACTTTTTGCTTACTTTTAGTGCAATATGTGACTAAAATTCATGACGTGTCGCTTAAAATGTGTTTTTGTGTATGTTATTCATAGATCAAATTACAGCACGTTTGTATGAACAAAGGTTACATTTCAAACTTTATTTAAAATGTGATTGCACTGCTGCAACAATAATATTTGAAGTTTTGTAATGTCTAATACTATCACCACATTTTACATGTATGTTTCCAAAACATGTTGGAGAAACACTGATATTACATGTGCTCTTAAAGTGTCATGTTGCAATATTTTTGTGTCGTCCTTATTTGAATCTAATGTGATCGCGTAGACAGCATATACATAGGTGTACATTACAATACATACACAACGAATCAAAGAAAATTTTGAAGGCAGCTAGATGTGAAATTGTGCAGCTTTTCAGGGTAGCTCTTTTGAACTGAAGTGTCCTGTCAATATACGTAAAGGGCTATTTTTTTAAATAAATGTGGCTCTATACAGCACAAGTTTTCCCCCCAAGTGAAAAAGCCTGCTCACTCGATAAAATATACGTTTTTTTAAAGACGGTAGTCTTTCTTCGGATACTTCAACAAAGAAATTTCAGTCTATCTGGCGGTCTTTCTGTTTATTTGCATCTCACATAATTCCGCCAGCCGGCGAAAGTTTAAGCCCTTGCTCAAGGCCCAGTCATCTTGATCTGGTGGCAGTGTTCACACTTGTGAACACCGTCGACCAAAAAGCAAATATTACGCATATTTGAGGCGCAATATCAATACGTGAGCATTAGGTGGTGTGTTTCTTTACTTGAAAATGCACAGATATGTAATTCCTAAGATGGAAGTGTTTATTATGCTGCGCCGACAATGCGACGCTATGAACTAAAAAGTGGGTGTCTCCTACGCTACGTTGAAACGACATGTGCTGCCACCTACCAGTGGCTCTGCGTTCTACAAAAACTTTCGTGTCTTGAAATTACTGCTAGATGGCATCCATATGACACGCAACGCCTCCAGTCTTAATTCGACGACCTTTGCAGAGAAGCACTCATATACGCGGCCATTTTTTAGGGTTTGTAATTTAATATCTAACTGAATACCGAACGCTCGGATTGTTATGGTCTTTTGCACACTAATCTCGCCGATATTTCCTGGTTGTTTTCCCCCTATTTTTTTGTTTACTATCTCATTCAATCTCTGTTTTCTACTTGAGCAAAATATGGCTTAAGAAGACACTGTGACCCTGTGAATTTTGTTATGGTTTGAAAAAGGTCTGCCTGGGTCAAAACATTGGTCTAAGAAACAGTGGTCTTCTATGAAATTCTAAAGCTTGTACTGGTTTGGGCGTATGTACAAATGAATCCGCCTATACACTTAGCGTAACTTCGCAGACTCAGATACTGAAAATTATCCATTTATCTTGTGGTACTCTCTAATCCTAGGGAATTCTGATAATATGGCCTTGCGGGTGTAATATGTTTCTTACTTTTAAAGATACGACCATAGTTTGATCATTTTCGGTACTGTGCATGAGAAAACACGCTTTCTGCATAAAAATTTCTTTTTTATGAAGTGCCTACATGCAGCCAAAGTAGGACAGTCCTAAGAGATAGACTTTCTTGCAGGATAATATTAAGATGCCCATTTGAATCAATGGAATATATGGCGTTATTCCAATCACTGCTTTTGAAAACACACACATCTCTAAACGCTGACTGAGATTTCTACTTATGTCGCTTTGTGAAAGAAAAATGAAGAAAACACAAAGAAAATACCACTAATTTATCATGCTCAACTTACGACACGTGGACGCCTACTTTTCTCCAAGTGTCACCATGGCCAAGAAATGAAATGGCGTTGTCCGAACCTTTCGAATTTGCCCACTTTTTCTGGAGGAGGAAATTCACCGCCGTGCCCAGAGTAGTTGCACCTCTGCACTTCATACTGTTGTACATGGTGTCTTCCATTGTACGCATTAGGTTAACTAATCCGTTACTCTTAAGCATCCCGAAACAGTATTTACCCTATGAAAAGAGAGAGCATTAGGAGGTTGCCGTAGTAAGCTTGTGGTACCGAAGAAGGACAGTGCAGCGTAAAGTCGTTCTACCTTTTAAAATATTGAGTCAATTCACCAAATAAAACGTTTCATTGGGCCATATTTTTCTCCTTTATTGGGATTTTACTTGAGCGCTCCCTGCTTTTGAAGAAAAACACGAAAAACAGATGTCAGACTCCCATTTTGTCGCTAACAATGTAAGCATACCGGAACTATAGATCTGTATGACTAAGTATGCGTCGTGATCAAGATTTTCAGTAAATCACTTTATGGAGGGGTGTTCGGTACTCCAACTTTTGAAAGACAATGCAGAGACAGTGATCACTTGGGCAATTACTCCGCAATGCCTTACGGTGACGTTGGTGGGGATGGTGGTGCTATGACAATAAATGGTAATAAGCTAGCATATATAGTCAGAAATAGCTCCTACAGTTTAGTTAGGTTAGGCTAGATTAGGTTAGGTTAGGATGATCGTGTGTGTCACCCGGCGTTGATCCTTTCCGTGTCTCAGAGAAAGGCATTGTTCACATTTGCACCGTCTCTGTTATTTGGACGCTGGAGAGTACACGTGCGTGACCGACATGTGATGTTACTAGCAGACGCATGGTCAACTGCCACCGAAGTAACTACATTGTCGGCCACCACACTCGTTGTTGATGCTGATGCGTTAACTGGGTTCACTTGCCTGGAGGGTTGCCTAGCACTTTTCTGTTCGCAGCGTCTTTTTTTTTTACTGCAATCAACATAGCCTACCTTTACTCACGATGTGATCGATGCAGTTTATTAGAGATCGATTATTATTACTTTACGATGTTACATTTCTTAGGTTTAGTGTCTATGGCTCTATATTGTTGTTACATGACAAAAAAATCATACTCTCTACATCATTCTCCTTATTCTTACGTTCACTGGTTTGTAATGTAAAACAAAACAGTTGTCTAATTTTGGCGGTTTGTTCATTTAGAAAACACATTGTTCAGTAACTACTTGCTAGTTTTTCAGTGCGTCATTTTCTTCATATTGTCCTCTTGTTTAAGTCATTGTTTTTGCTATAAGTACACAGTTTTTGGTTCGCCAATACACACAATAAACACCTGCAGCTATAAGCTTTATAGTTCTAGCAATTCATGGCGCCATACATTTTATGCGAGGATACCCTGTTTGATAAGTGGTCAATTGCCGTACGGTAGCTAGCAACTCGCGAGTCAAAACGTTCGGGGCATAAAAGCGGACTCTGGCTCGTTTTTTTTTTTTTCGAAATGAAATAACTTTCGTATGGTGCCGATGGCAGGTGTTGCATTCGGTTCCATCACTGAAAATTGTCGATAATTATCGTTTATATGTAACTAACCTGCTGCTTGCACACCGCTGGTCGCTAGCATTCCGTGGAACAGCAGACTCAAGCTGATCCCGCGAAGGAATCGCATTGCGGGAGCGTGGCAGAAACTGGACTGATTCTCTTCCCCGCTTTCTGCGTGCACTCTGACTTGGTTTGGACACCGTCAATTCTAATGGGAGCCTTATATATGGGACAAGATACATTCGATCTCTTTTGCGAGCACGTCAGTGATCTGAAAGTATAATTGCATTCAACTCAAACAGGAGCGCAAGCCGAGAAACGCGAATGTCTGCACCAGGAAATTGCGCCCTTATGAGAATATTATGCAGCATGGGGCTCAATGTGGTGTATCGCGGTGCCACAGTGCTCACGCAGTTTGGTCATTCCAGGCTAATGTCACTGAGAAAAATAGCGTCAAATTTTTGACAAAGGCAAATAGGCATCATCATTTTTTTGTTATTTTTGTGCGTAGAATTATTGCATCATTGTAGATATTTCCGTGTTAAGTAAATTTCATACTTTAATTACTAGAACGGCTTGTCCCCATTGGACGGGACGCCCGTTTTTTTTTTTATGTATACTAAGACATCAGAACGGGTTAAATTAGGCTTGTACACGCATTGGCATACACTGAATGACTGAGATTTTCTGTGCGGCACTTAACGAAATCCGGGGTTTTTTTCGAAGCGTCGCCGACCACATTCATCAAAGCCTTATTGGCCATCTGTCGGTGAACGTTGATTTTCCAGCCTGTGCGTGCATGATTAATATTTTATTGGTTCAAAATTATTACTGGGCTCGATAACACAATGCAGGATTATCACGGGTGGGCTTGTTAATTGTGCTTGGAGCAGTCGTGGTTATTAGATGGTGCAAGTAATTGTGCGTTTGCCTTGTACTTTGCAGAAATGAGGTGCAGGAAATATGTGGCCATTTTACAATTTTGGGGGTTTCTGTAAGCTTACGAAAACCAAAAGAATCAATTTCCCGTCAGAATTAGTATAGGGCACGTACGGCTTTTTGAGTTCCCATTTTTTTATTAGAAAACCTATGACAATCTGGAACAGTGAAAGCGCGTAATGCCTAGACAGGATCCAACTGTTTACTTCAAAACTTCAGTTCATGAAAGGGGGTACTTTTCCAGCTTTAATGGGTGGACAAAAACAGGCTGCACCATGCTTCAGCACCTTGTGGCGGTGCTGCGTAGAAACTTTCTGCATTGCCTAATTCCCCTACAGGCGCATCGCTCTGATACACCAAAGAGAAGTATGTGATTTGCTGGAATGACATGTCCTGCGCCATTGATGAAAAGGGAAGCAGATGACCCCAATACTAGCCTTTGGCTGAAGGGTCATATACGGTGTTTGCAATTGATTTTTATTTATTTCATGCCAATAAACTTCAATTATTCAACTTCTATCAATCTTTCATTTCAATTCAAAGAACACAAATGGTACAAGCAGTACTAGTACTGTAGGTCACTCTGCAAGCAGTAGGGATTTAGAAGTGAGATCAGGAAAAAAAACAAATCGTTAGTCGTATGTTCTAAAGCCAAAATACCCCTCTTTAGTTCACTGCCACTTGCAGCCGGCAGTTTGCAACGCTACGAGGTTCATGAGAATAGAGTAGCCGCATTGAATGGTTCTGGTGATGGTAACTAACATTTTCAAGAAACAAATATTTGCTTACGTTTTCTGGTGTTTTAAAAATTAGGTTAACTTAGCCGTGTAAATGAGAAAAGACTAACATAGTCGTGTTCATGTCGGTCTAAACCATGTCGTTTGTAGCATGTGCCGAGGCTTCTATTTGTCGCGCAATATATCCATCGCAGACGGATTTCTTGAAGTGGTACATTCGCAGTCTCTAACCTCGAGACAATAGCCGTTGGGTATTTCCAGAACATTTTCTTGAACAACCTGCCTATACCATATCGCAGTACATACAGTACCCGCGGCATCACCGGTTTAACCACTGATGTAGATTGTGGCTGATAGTAGGTTAAACGTTCCAATAAAAAACTCCCGAACAACCGCATTACCCAAGTTCAGGGACGACACAGACCACACTTTGTAAGTAAGTTCAACGCTGGCAACAAGAGAGAAAACGTGCAGCGCGGGAGCTCTTGTTAAAGCTCCATTACTTTGGAAGGAGACCCTCTGATGATGACGCCTCATGTCACTTTATTACTTCGGCGGTCGCCTGGAGTGGGACAGGTGCGTTATCCGTCCCCAACATACCCCTTTGCTCGCTCGTATAATGATCACCATGCAATTTTGTCAATTTCTTCCCAATTCTTACATTCAACTTATGCAATAAATTTTAGGTCATCACCTGATACGATGGCACCTCACCTTCATTGGCCAGCCCGCCTGAGGCTGCACTGGTAGCCGTTTTTAACCTCTTTGTGTTTCACGGAAGGAGAATGGCGTCGTAATATATCGCCTCGGCTGCAAAGTTCAGGCATTATTTCAACGGCGTTTTTGAGTCTGGTTTTCGACATCGACAGATGAGGGCCTCGCTTATAGGACTAGATTGTCGCACACAGACACTCCGTGATGTCATAGCAAATAACAGTGACTCCACCTGTCACCGCTACGGCAAAACAAAGCGAGATGCACCCCGCGTTGTCAGAAATTGCCATCAATTGTTACTGGGGAAAAATTTATGTCACGCAGCTGCTATTACTTTGCAGGCATATTTACACAAGCAGATTGCGTAAGTATATTTGCTCCAACAGCTCGTGTATCAATCGTTGGTCGCGTCTAATTAGTTTTACAAACACTTCGTGACTCGTCATGCATAAATGAGGTTCTTGTGGCTGAACATCGCATTATGTTTTAGTGACTGTAATGATGAATGTAGTGGGTCACGCAAATCTCGGCAAACACATTGTCAGTGCTAAGCACAAGACGCTCGGCCCGGACTGTCGCTGGTTTCGCTAGCTAGGCCTACGCTCCTACCTGGTCTCGGATAACAGTTTTGACTGTCTCCGTTCTTTATTATAATTGGTTGAGTTTGCGGGGTCTCCTTGCAATCCTGGAGTTGCGAAGCCGGACTCTACCTGCTGTCATGACCACTGCATCTGCGACAAGCCCTTCTCCTATGGCTTCCCAGGCCATCGTGTGCTCCGGCGCGGCCCGTCAGCGGGATCCTCCCATATTCAGCGGCACTGACGATCACGACGTCGACGACTGGCTGGCTACTTACGAACTCGTGAGTGTCTTGAACAAATGGGACGAAGCCACGAGACTGGCCACTGTCGGCATTTACCTCAGTGGCATTGCCCACTTATGGCTTCGGAACCATGAGACCGACGTTCCCACCTGGACAGCATTCAAGGCAAAGTTCAGCGAAGTCTTTGGTCGTCCTTCTGTCCGCAAACTTCGTGCGGAGCAGCGCCTTCAGTCGAGATCTCAACTGCCTGGTGAGAACTTTACAAGTTGCATAGAAGATGTCATTGACTTGTGCAGACGCGTCGATGTGGACATGACAGAGGTGGACCACATGAAGCATATTTTTATGGGTATTGACGAGGACGCTTTCCAGATGCTCATTTCAAAAAGCCCTGCTACTGTCGCCCAAGTTACCGAGCTCTACCAAAGCTATGATGAGCTCCGCCGGCAACGTCTCGTCACCCGCCGTGCTATCCCACATCAGGAATCGATGTCCGGCTTAACTCCCTCGAAGACCACGTCCTCCTCTCGCAGATCAAAGATTTCGTGCGCGAAGAAGTTGCCCGCCAACTCTCGCTCATCTGTGGCCTACCGGAGCGCAGTGCACCGCTTAGCCCTACTCTACGGACTATTATACGAGATCAAGTGTCTGAGGTCCTTCCTCCGCATCTGGTGCCACCAGTCAATGCACCATTGACGTACGCCGAATCAGAGCACGACCACGACGACAGACGTTCCAAGCGCCGCCTCCACTGCCTGCTCCTGTTTATGCCGCCCAGCCGCCACGACCTCCAGTTCGCCGAGTCCCTAATCCATGGCGCACTGCCGACAACCGACCGATCAGCTTTTCGTGTGGTCTACCTGGGCACGCCGCACGTCTGTGCCGCCGCTGCCCACTCCACTCACGTGAAAACCTACGTCCATATGAGAACGATTACACGTACACTCAATACACCCCAGACCCCGAATTGTACGCTCCTCGTCCAAGCCACCGACCAGCTCCTGATCGCCGATCTTCTCCACGTCGACGCTCGCCCTCCTCGATGCGCCGACGCCCCCCTACAATCGACGCGGAAAACTAAATGACGCAGTTCCCGAGGCAAGAACTGCGTCCTCGTCGCAAAGCACAAGCCCTCTTCGTTCGCCGCCGAACGTAATTAATGCCGTTCTTGAAGGTGTACCCGTACTTGCCCTTATTGATACTGGTGCCGCAATTTCTGTCATCGCCGAAAAAGTTTGCCGTTCAATTCGAAAAGTGAAAACGCCTTACTTGGGTTCATGTCTTCATACTGCCACTGCACAGCCTGTGCAGCCTGTGGCCACGTGTACTGCCAGACTTGTAATTCAAGGAATGCCCTACACAGTGCAGTTCTTAGTACTCTCGCACTGTTCTCATGACATCATTTTAGGTTGGGATTTTCTCTCCCATCACCAAGCCGTCATTGATTTCGCCCGTGCCGAAGTCGCCTTTTGTCCCCTTGGTGATGCGCTACCAGTGCACGATCGCCCTTCCGACGCGAAGTTGGTCATTAGTGACGACACCCAAATCCCTCCACGCGCTACTGTCTTCGCACCTGTGTCGTGTTCCACCGTCGTCGACGCTACCGCATTCTTCACGCCTTCCGCTGCTTTCGTTCATCGCCACCTATCACCGCTCCCAACCACTCTCGTTACTCTTCAAGGTGGTGCGACCAACGTGCCTGTGGAGAATCCGTTCCCATTCACAATTACGCTACTTCAAGGCGAATGTATTGGTTCGATAGAATCATTCGAAACCATCGCTACACTTGACGTTTCTGATGAATCATCGGGAGTCAGCGCCCTCTCCTGTAGTTCCGTGAATGACCCTTCCACTACCGACATTTTCAACCGTGTCATCGACGAAGGCCTAGACCCACAACAGAGGTGTGAGCTTTTGAGCCTCCTTGACAAGTTTCGACCATCTTTTGACAGCCACAGCGCTACTTTAGGTCGAACATCTACCGGATGCCACCAGATCGACACAGGTAATCACCCACCACTACGGCAGCGACCATACCGTGTTTCGCCGACTGAACGCCGTATCATCGATGAACAAGTAGGTGACATGCTAAAGCGAGGCGTCGTTCAACTGTCAAACAGTCTTTGGGCATCGCCGGTTGTTTTAGTTAAAAAGAAGAATGGCAAGATACGCTTTTGCGTAGATTATCGTCGCCTAAACAAAATAACACGAAAGGATGTTTATCCTTTGCCTCGAATCGATGACGCCCTTGACTCTTTACGTACAAGGCGCAGAGTTTTTTTCCTCCCTTGATCTACGCTTTGGGTAGTGGCAAGTGCCCATGAATCCGGATGATAGGCCAAAAACTGCCTTTGTTACACCAGACGGCTTATACGAATTTAACGTGATGCCATTCGGGCTCTGCAATGCGCCGGCAACATTTGAGCGCATTATGGACACTATCCTACGAGGCCTCAAATGGAACACGTGTTTGTGCTTCTTAGACGATGTAGTGGTATTCTCGCCCGATTTTCCCACGCACCTTCGTCGCTTGGAACAGGTTCTACGCTGCCTCTCTGCAGCAGGCCTCCAACTCAACTTGAAGAAGTGTCACTTTGGAGCGCGCAAGCTGACCATTCTCGGACACGTCGTGTCAAAGGATGGCGTTCTTCCTGACCCCGCTAAGCTACGTGCTGTTCGCGAGTTCCCGAGGCGAGGCCCGCGTCTCTCAAGCATCTGCGTAGTTTCATTGGGCTTTGCTCATACTTCCGCCGCTTCGTCCGGGATTTCGCCTCGATCATGGCGCCTCTGACAGACCTACTTCAGGGAGACCGCAATCTATCTGTGTGGTCTCTAGCCTGCGACAGTGCCTTCGCGAAGCTCCGTGAACGGCTTACAACACCACCCATACTGCGTCATTTCGATTCAAGCGCTCCCACAGAAATCCACACAGATGCTAGTGGTGTCGGTCTTGGCGCTGTACTCGCCCAACGAAAGCCTGGTTACCAAGAATATGTCGTTGCGTACGCGAGCCGCACTCTTACAAGAACAGAAGCAAATTATTCGGTAACTGAGAAAGAATGCCTAGCGATTATCTGGGGCATTACAAAATTTCGGCCTTATCTGTACGGCCGCCCTTTCGATGTTGTTACCAACCACCACGCGCTCTGCTGGTTATCCTCCCTCAAAGATCCCTCAGGACGCTTGGCACGATGGGCTTTACGGCTCCAAGAGTACGACATCCACGTCATTTATCGCTCAGGCCAGAAGCACGCCGATGCCGACGCTCTTTCGCGTTCGCCTGTTTCTACTGATATTGCGAGTGTCTCCATCCAAGACAACTTCCTTCCACTATCAGGACCCATCAACATGGCTGCGGAGCAGCGCAAAGATTCGTGGATTGCGTCTCTGATGGATTACCTATCTGAAACACTCGCCCACCCGCCATCTCGAGCGCTACACCGACAAGCCTCTCACTTCGCCATCCGTGATGGAATACTTTATCGCCGCAACTACCACCCTGACGGTCGCAAATGGCTACTCGTCATACCCAGGTATCTCAGCGCCAAAATATGTGCTGCTTTCCATGCCGATCTGCAGTGTGCGCACGCCGGTTTGTTTAAAACCTACGCCAGGCTACGTTTTCGGTTTTATTGGTGCGGCATGTACACATTCGTTCAAAAGTACATTCGATCTTGCACAGAGTGCCAACGCCGCAAGCATGATCCTAGCCGTCCTACTGCACCAATGCAGCCGTTACCGTGCCCAGTGCGACCATTCGACCGGGTTGGAATCCTCTACCATATACATCAGCTGGGAATCGCTGGATTATTGTAGCGATCGACCATCTCACGAGATATGCAGAAACGGCCACTCTACCAGCCGCGACGGCACGTGACGTTGCGTCTTTCCTGCTGCAACGTTTTGTTCTGCGTCACGGCGCTCCACGTGAACTTTTGAGCGACCGAGGCCGCGTCTTTCTCGCGGATGTTATTCGAGAACTTCTTGCAGAATGCCATGTGATTCACCGCTGTACTACCGCATATCGCCCACAAACAAATGGCTTGACCGAGCGTTTCAACCGTTCTCTTGGCGACATGCTTTCTATGTATGTCGCCTCCGACCACACCAACTGGGATCTTATCCTTCCTTACGTAACGTACGCTTACAACACGGCACCTCAAGCGACGACAAGCTTTTCTCCATTCTTTTTACTTTATGGTCGAGAACCATCATCTCCAATTGACACCATTCTCCCCTACCGACCCGACTCATCCGAAGGCACACCAGTTTCCGAAGCCGCGCGGTATGCGGAAGAATGTCGGCAATTAGCTCGCACCCTTACAACACAAGAACAAGGGCTACAGAAATTTCGTTACGACGATGGACGGTCCAACTACCAATTTTCGCCCAACTCTCTTGTTTGGCTGTGGCTGCCCCCCAGTGCTGCTCCTGGTACCTCTACAAAGTTTGTCAGCAGGTACCATGGACCTTATTGCGTCATAGAACAAACTTCCGCTGTTAACTACCTCATGGAACCCCTCACGGCCACTGTGGACCTGCGTCGCCGAGGCCGCGAAATCGTACATGTGGATCGCCTCAAACCATACCTCGAACCACTTGTCCTCACGACACCTTAGAAGACTTACTTGGCACCATCTTCAGCGAGGGGGAAATATGTAATGATGAATGTAGTGGGTCACGCCAATCTCGGCAAACACATTGGCAGTGCTAAGCACGAGACGCTCGGCCCGGACTGTCGCTGATTTCGCTAGCTAGGCCTACGCTCCTACCTGGTCTCGGATAACAGTTTTGACTGTCTCCGTTCTTTATTATACGACAAATGTAATGGAGCATGATGAGAAATTTTATACGCGTAAAGGAAGTTCCATATGATTGTATTGCAAGCAAAAGTAACAATAGCAGAGGTCAACATCTTGTAGTCAGCGCACAAAAATTACAATTAAATGTTTATGATAAAGAATATTACTTGTGTAACAATTATGAATATTGAATGCGCAACTATTAAGCAAAGGTGTAAGTTTATCAAGCTAGATTCTATTTTTAATTATGTTTGTCACACTTCTGCATGTCGTTAGGAACAATGTCCGCTTTGATGGCATAGCGTTTGACTGAGCTCACCGCTTTCGCTGCAACGTCTTTTTATTCAGCAATAAAATATTCTTTTTTCCTCACAATATTGGCTGTTTATGATGAATGTTATAAACTACGACAAGCGTGAGCAGTCGTGAAAACCAGTCAACCTTGTCCTTTAGTTATCTTTTATTACACCAGGGTAACGCACTGTGTAATTGCGCATTTCTACGCCTACTCCTCCGTTCACAAGAACACCGCTGGGACCAAAATCAACAGAAGGGCGAACTTCATTCAGCCCAGTGTCGATAGAGGCTGTCGTATTATCCGTGTCGGAGGCTTCATTTTCCGAAATAGCTGAAGTCTGTTGTGCCGTGCCTTCTGTAGTTTCACTCCAACTTGTACTAGTGAGCGGCAATTCTGATATAGTCGCAAGCTCAGAAGTACTAAATGGTGTAGTATGTGGTCCGGCATTTTCGAACTCCTGAACACTAGTAGTTTTGGGGTCGCTACTGAATTGCGTAGTATACGGTTCGGGATTTGTGATCTCCTCACCACTAGTTGCTTTTGGGTAGCTACTAAATGGCGTAGTATACGGTCCGGAATTTTCAATCTCCTGACCACTGGTCGTTTCGGCGTCGGTGCTAGGGACATCCGTGACCCCTGGTATCTCGGTTGTTAGAGGTGGGCCCGATCGAGGTATGAGGGTATTTTCTTCTGTCGTCCGTGGCGTCGATTGACCTGGAGGACTTTCTGGAGCGACCGATTTCGTAGCGTCCATCTTGGGAGATGGCGTGAAAGCACGAGATGGCGTTACTTCTGATTTAGTAACCTTCGTTGGGGCTCTACTAGAACCACTAGGCTTCGGTGTAGTTCCCCCGGGTGGTTTCCTCCCAGGTGGCTTAGCAGGCCTATTGCTTCTTGGTGGCCAAACAAAGCTCCAGCACCAGTATCGCCCCTTCCCATTCGGCAGGCCTCCAGGCAGCACGACGTAGATGCCATGCCAGAAGGGCGTTTCTTTCTGGCCGTCCAGGCGGTTTGGAGCCCACGGCTCTCGCATTTGATCTAGAAACTCTGGCCTGAACGGGTTTGGTAGGTAGGTATCGCTGAAAATTGATGGCAATGACGGCAAGCCTTGCAATCGAAGTGGCCTCTGAGGGCTTGCTGGATTGCCTCGCATTTTTTGGCGGGAGACGGCATGAAAGCGAGAATCTGGTGACCTCTGCGGTCTTGAAATGGGCGAAATGCTGGGGTCGCTGAAGCTGAGGATGGCTCTTGCTTGGCGCTTTAGTAAATGAACTTGAGAGTCTTCCGTTGGTAATGATTCCTGTTCACGGAGCGCAGCTTTTTCTCGGATGGAAGCAGCACCTACGATCAAAAATGAACACAATGAAGAAAAGTACGTTATGCACGGTGAAAGAAAGTTCATGAAAGAAACTACCCGAGAGTCATTCAACAGAAGAGAGGTCCTGTAGTACGTGTCTTGCAAGACGAATATGCTTCAGATATACATTCCTTAAAAAAATAAAGGTGGGTCTCAAGTCAAGCAGTTGGCCAGAAACCAGTATAATCGAAGAAAGATGTGAGGACAATTAAAATTGAACACACACCACAAAATTTAATAATATCGAAGACGAACAAGGCCTTGTTAACTATGTTCATAATGGCCGATGATTTCATTGTCATCGTCATCAAGGCTACCGGGCGGGAGTCTTAATCACCGTACCACTGGGTATGTAATCGATTCACGATCGTCATTTTGTGTAGGGTGCAGTCGTGAAACCTTTAGCAAGCGTCTTCACAAGGAGTGGTCACGGATAGACTGAGCAGCTGTTAGCGCGGGAACTTTCGGGGCAATAAAATACTGGCTTTTCCCTCGACATCCCACGGCGAATGATCAGCTGGTATTATGCGACCTTGTAATCACATTCGTCAATGAGCAAACCCAACACGCATCTGTCCATCGCCCATGCTCCCTCGCGTGACCACGACGTCTATCTTCCTATAAATGCGCATATCGAAAATCTAGGAAAACCGGGATCCGGGAATTCTGTTGGTATTTCTCTTGAAAAGAGCGCATACACACAAAAACGAAGAAATAAGACGCAGCAGGACAGGCACTAACTCCGAACTAAAAAGTTTATTGGAAAGAACACACATATTTACACTACTTGCCACGGGCGCACGTGATAGCACGTGCGGCGTCTAGCATAAAACCACATGTGTTTCCTGTAGAATTGGGGTCGTGTATAACCTGTCACTCTCATGCCGAAAGAGGTAACATGGTGGACGGGGCCACCTATCAATGTGTGCATAAGAGCATGAAAGAGACAGCAGGGCTTATCAATTGTCGCACATCATAGCGTATACATTATGGTGCATATGGTTGTGAATCCTGCTTTGAGAATTGTTCTGTCAGTCACCGCCATAAGAACTGACTCTTAAGAGAAATCATCAAAGCATATCACACTTGTGAAGAAAAATATCTCTGCATTACCCACCCATCAGTATCATTATTACAGAGTGAACTGACTTATCTTCAGGCGGTGTTTGGCGATTAGGTTTTTTCGGGCACATGACTTTGAAATCAAGCGGCGTGTTCTTGCACATATTTGGTTCCACTATTGCCTATCTTCGCGACTTTGGTGTGCACATGGTTAGGGCTAGCTGATAGGCCATGACGATTGTTATTTATAGCGCGAGCTCAGAACAACGACAAAGGGACAAAGCGCTCGTCTTCTGCTCCTTTTGTCATCCTACTTAGCTCACGCTATAACAATTGTCGTGCTCTTTCTAATAAACTTCATTGTTGGGAGTCAGCACCTGTCCCGTTGTTTTTTCTTGCTTCGTCCTCACGTGCATGCGCTGTTTTCAAGATGTATCGAACATCCATCACCGGCTGTTCACCAAGTAGCAAGCACGGCAGCTCAATTGCAGGCTGAAAAAAAAAAAAAACTGCGGCGGAACGAGCGCCTGAAGTTTCAGATCGAAACGATCTGCCGATCTCGTGGACGAAACCGGTTCACTTTGCTTTTTTTTTCTTCTTTTAAATAATCAGAGACAGCCTGAACGTGCTGTCTCTTTATGCCCTGTATTGTGAAGGCTCTCTCGTTGCCGGCACAGTGCATGAAGCATTGGGAAGACATTGCAGAACAAACGCCAAAAACCAACAGCAAAGAATGGTGCGACATGTGACTAGTTTCGGATTCGCAAAAAGAGAAGAGAACGATGGTTGCGGTTCTATCAACACGGGATGCTCTACATTTTTAATATCCCATGTTGAACTTCGGTTAGCTTGAGGGAATAAAACAAAAATAACGTTAATGTATAAGCTGCAGAATAAATATTTAGTGTGTGTGTGTGCGCGCTGCAGCTGCAGGGACCCACTATAATGCTCAACTCTGAGAGTACCGTTACTACTTTTGATAAGTCCTAACTCCCGACATATATATATTTCTTCTTGGAGATGCCCGTTATTTCTCTTTTGAAGATTATTATGCACTCTCTTCAGAGAATTATGGGTGTCTCAACCCTCCGAAAGTATCTTTAAAAAAAGTTATTCGCGTCGAAGACTCGTCAAAAAGAGTAAGTGGTACTACTATTTTTTTTTTTCAATTGTTGTACATCACTGTAACATATGCGTTGATACCTTGCAAATTCAGTGGCTACTGTTTGACACCTGCAGTATGTAGTACCATGAACTATTACTTTAAAGTTATTTGGCAAATGTTACTTTTTGACCACTAGTTTTCATTATTTTAACATTGATGGACGTCCAGTCCATCTATCCATCATACTTGAGAAAAAGTTTATAGGAGGCTCAGTGTTTAAGTGCTATCTGAAACACGTGGTCTCGCCTACGCATCTTCAATGTTAGCCCTTAGCCCAATGTTAGCAGGTATCACGCCTCCCGATTCAATGAATTTTCCTTTGTCGCTTTGTATTTGTACATACTGACACGCGTATACTTGTTTTTAGAAGTCCACGGCCCATTAGCAAGCAGCCAGGGCTTTTGTGTGGCTAAGTTCATAGACGTGGGTTCGAGGACAGTATTGTTGCGACACCTGGCGGAACAGATCGCAACCCTGCGCTTATTTCTACGTGACTTTTGAGATCCACTTTGGCAGTGCGACAAAACATAATGTTAAGCCGAGGAATACACCAGGGCACAAAAACGCCCACTTGCAAGCGTCGATACCAGACACTTAAGCCTATATAGAATTAGGGTCGGCTCCTCTTTTTGTACTTCTCGGCGAATATTTTCTATCAACACAAAACGGTTTTGCTCTGAGCAAGTGCGTATCATGTATCGAAACTTTTTTAAATGATGTCATTGGTCCCATAGCCAAGGGAGTTTAGTATAATCCCGTTATATGTGAGACGCAAATAGTGGCGTATATTCTGGAAAGTACGTGAACGGCCGAAATCATGCTGTACCACACCATGGCTCGTGTACAAACATACAACGTCGGTCACGCGCGGGTGAAATTCTCCCGACCGACGACTGTGGCCAACCATATTGTTGTGGTTTGCATGTGGCCTGATTTCTGCAGGTGGCGAAAATTCGCTTGATAAGTAGTGTATCTCTATTTAAGTGCCTTAGCTCCTGGATTCTTCACCACCAGTGTGTCGCCACATTACGAACAAAACCACTTTGAAAAACTCACTTTTTTCACGTTTGGGCCAGGGATTAGCCTATATCAGTCGTTCTTGTCATAGACCGGTCCCATACCGCCACGTAGGAGTTGACTTCTGTTTCCTAACTGGATTCTGGATTTGTTCATCAGTTCATCAATGCAGAAGAGCGCAACCTTGTAACAATATATATATATATATATATATATATATATATATATATATATATATATATATATATATATATATATATATATATATATATATATATATATATGAAGTATATCTTCCGTGAGCGGTCACAACGGGGTTTATTTCGACGTTTCGGTTTAGAGTCTGGCCTTCATCAGGATCCTGATGAAGGCCAGACTCTAGGCCGAAACGTCGAAATAAACCACGTTGTGACCGCTCATGGAGGATGTACTTGACTATATGCAACTCTAAGGCCACTCAACCACCATGCCTGCCAATATATATATATATATATATATATATATATATATATATATATATATATATATATATATATATATATATATATATATATATAGATAGATAGATATATATATATAAGGGAAAGAAGTGTATACCTAAGGGCTCATTTTTCCGTGTTTTAACACAATATTAATGAGATCTAACAGACAGTAATGCCAAGGAATGTACACGGGAAGTTATGAGAACCAATGGAATGTAAATAAGAAGAAAGAAAAGTGGATGAAAAAATAGCCAGCCGTGAGCAGGAATCAAACCTACGACCTTTGAATAACGCGTTCGATGCTCTAACCACTGAGCTAACACAGCGGCCTTCCACCCATCCACTTTTTTTGGATTTATATGTGAATTTAGAAGTAGGAGTGACAGTCAGCGCCATCTATAAGCCAAGCGACGAGTGTCAAAACACTCTTATGCGCATGTTTGGCGTCACGTAGCACGTGAACTTATTATGAGCGGGCAGCTGATTAATTGTCCCTCTTATACAACCCAAACACACCAAGTCTGCCAGTACGAGACCCTCGGTCATTGAAATAAGGGAAAGAAGTGTATACCTAAGGGCTCGTTTTTCCGTGTTTTAACACAATATTAATGACATCTAACAGACAGTAACGCCAAGGAATGTACAGGGGAAGTTATTAGAACCAATGGAATGTAAATAAGAAGAAAGAAAAGTGGATGAAAAAATAACCAGCCGTGAGCAGGAATCGAACCTACGACCTTCGAATAACGCGTTCGATCGTAGGTTCGATCGAAGGTCGTAGGTTCAATTCCTGCTCACGGGAGAGCTTCGAACGCGTAATTCGAAGGTCGTAGGTTCGATTCCTGCTTACAGTTGGCAATTTTTTCATCCACTTTTCTTTCTTCTTATTTACATTCCATTAATGTTAATAACTTCCCCTGTACATTCCTTGGCATTACTGTCTGTTATATCTCATATATATATATATATATATATATATATATATATATATATATATATATATATATATATATATATATATATATATATATATATATATATATATATATATATATATATATATATATAAG